GCGTTGTGTTCTCTTGGGTAAGGCCCAGGTGGCCTTGGCCACCCAAGAGTCAGTGGCATGAGGTACTTCCCAACCAAAAAATGGGGCTCTGTTGATCTTCCAAGATGCATGTCCTCAGTACTGGGCAGTCTCAGACTGGGCCATCCATACCTGAACTCACTAGAGAATACGACCACCTGCATACTTGGCTCAAGGCCGTCTGGGGCAGAGGGAACAGCTGAGCTTCCTGAAGAAGAAAGAAGCCATCGTTGGCTCAGATGAGCCAACTGGCCGGCGGGGAGGGGCCGGGGTGTTGAGCAAACTAGCAGCCCTGATTCAAACCAGGCTCGTGACAGCCTTCACAGATCAGATTGGAGAAGGGAGAGAGGAGAGGCGCAGAGAGGCAGACAGGCTTGTAGTCCAGGTGGACCAGGGTGGTGAATCTGGGGAGAAGGTGAGTATGCAAAAGATGTTTGATGGAGGTAAACCCACTAAACCAGGGGACGATGAGAGGGGAGGCAAGGCAGAGGAGACTCAAGGGTGACCCATGCAATGTAAGGAGGAGGGGTCCAAGTGGAAGGAGATGTCGCCATCTTAGCTTTACCCCCAGCACCACAGGGTCATCCTTCAAGCACACAAAAGTTAACAAAACCGGATGATACAGCAATTGCAGGCTACAGCGCAGTCAGCTTTCTACTCTTAGAGTGCTGAAGTGTCAGTCACCTGGAACCAGCCTTGGTCCCAGTATTAGACCCAAATACCGTGGCTGTTTGGTGATGACTTCGTGTATTCCCTAGTGGTGGCCTGGTGCACGGTCTTTGCTCTGTATTGGCTCGTACTCATCTGCCCAGGAAAATAAAAAATTCTTCCCCAGAACTAGCTCCAAGGCCTGGCCAGAATGAGCCAAAATTGTTCTGGACACTTCCAAAGAGAGCTCATGACCCTTGAAGGCACTGTGCCAAAGGGCAGCTAATGGTAATCTGCCCACACTAAGCAACTCAATTCTTTAACCAAAAAGAAGTTATTCGTATCTTTTGTTTTTATATTACCTGTTTTTTTTATCTTTAATTAGACATCAACAGTGAACATTTCAGTAGACAAAGAACAGAACAGAGGTTCACATGGGAAACTGAAGCTGTTAGGTAGTTCTTTAAAGCATATACAACATTTAGTATAGTAACAAAAGTGCCTGTTTTCCACTCCTGAACTCTTTTTGTTTTCCTTTTTTCATTACGCTCACTAACCAGCTCCCTATCCCCCACGTCCCCCTCAAACAGAGGCCCTTCCTTGTACAAAGCATGCCTTACCCCGCGATCGACTCCATCACCAACCTGTCTGCTAAAAGGAAAGGGTGGGACCCTGCTTCATCCTCGTTCCTCTGAAGCTGTGCCCGGTCGCTGCGTTGCCCTGAGTTGTGACATCTTTCAAAGTTGCTTTCCTTTCTGTTAGTTTGATCAATGTTGAAATTGTTCCCATTTGTTTTCCCTTCACTCGCAGTAACACTATTTCCCCCCTTTAGTCAAGTCTGGGTGTTTTAGGAGGAAGGGGAAAATGTTTGTAGGTTATACTGATGGAGCCAATAGATGGGGAAAGACGGAAAACGAGAAAGAGAATTGTCAAAGAGCCTGACTTTGAGGAAATGGGATTAAGGGCCTGACTGCAGCAGCAGCCTGAAGTGAAAAAGATGGGTGAAGACACCGAAAGGTTGGGGAACCTGGGCACCAGGAGGCACACGATGGACGGCCTCTTTTGTGTTTTGCTTTTTGGGTTTTTTTGCTACGTAATGGGATTAAGTGACTTGCCCAAGGTCACACAGCTAGTGAGTATTATGTGTCTGAGGCTGGATTTGAACTTGGGTCCTCCTGACTCCAGGGCTCTATCCACTGCGCCACCTTGCTGCCCCATGAACGGCCTCTTTTCTCGGTCAAGGAGGAGGCAGATGTGTCCTCTGCAAGCCTCTTGTCCTTTGTATGCTGACACGTTTGGGGTTTTTTTAAGTAGGTAAGGTCCTTTGCAGAGATGCTAGAGGTCATGTTTCTATAATGCTTTTAAAGTTTGCAAATCACCATCCTACAGCACGTGCTCTTGTGAGCAGACTGCAGCGAGGATCCTCATTTTAGGGAGAAAGCTTGAAATTAAGTGAGTCCAGGAGAGATTGGAAAACAGAGGAGACGGCGGCTGAGGGGATGGTAAGTGAATGTGTTGAGGGCCAGCACTGAAGAGTCTAAATATGGGATAAGGAATTTTAGGTTAGAGCTTGACCTCTTTCCTTTTTCTTACCCATAAGGGCTTAATTATTCAGAATCTTTGGCTCACCAATTTCTTGTGCCTGAAGGTGTTAGACTACTCTGACGGAGCCTTGAACCTTGATGGCAAGCAGGTGTGTATAATGAAAGTAACACCTGAGGGCTGGGATTAGCCACGGAACTCCTCGGGGGTGAGTGTTAGCTTTCACTCTTTAAGCCGGACCCTCAGAGTGATAAACGGCCCGCGTCTGGGCATTTCGCACTTCTCCTTTGATGCAATACTAAGCAACGGTACAGAATGAATGAGTGAATTGTACGAGACCGCTACACAAATGGTTGGGGTGCAGTCCCTGCCTTCAAGAAGCTTACGCTCTATCAAATAGCAAGCGTTTATTAAGTACTTTGTACATGCCACAAACCTGCTGAGTGCTGGGAATACAGAGAGAAGAGCCACACAGCACCCGGCTCGAGGACCTTCTGCATAGAGATCAGACGACCTAACCTGGGATGGGAAGGCTCGAGCTCGAACTGACTGGAAGGAAACCAGGGACCCCACTGGTCACGGGGAAGACCAAACTGTGGCAGATGTCCATGCGATGGACAGACAGCAAGTGTACCAGCAAAGCCGGACCTCTCCAAGAGACCCTGGGCCCTTGTTCCAGCGTCGCTGTCCTGGGCGGGCACCGTCATCCTCCAGTCTGTGATGTTCAAACCTCAGCCATCCTTGGCTTCTCGCTCACTGAACATGCCGCACCAAAACGGGGGGAAGCAGCGAGGCGGGGTAGTCAAGCCTCCCGCTTTCCTAGTTAGTATTTAAGGTTTGCAAAACGCTTCACAAACATCTGATTAAATCCTCACAACTCATTATTCTCATTTGGCAGATGAGGAAACTGAGGTTAAGAAAGGTCAGCTGAGTTGCCTGGGATTGCACAGCTAGTGTCTCGAGACCAGATTTGGAGACCCCCGGCAATCGATCTAAGATTGTGCCCATGCACAAGACACCTCCCTCCAGCTCCATCGCCCAGGGACCACCACCATGGGGCACACTCTCTTCACTACTTGTTTGCACTATTTCAGGAGGCTCCTCAAATCGGTGTCTTTGCTTCATCTCTCTGCTTCCCATCCATTCTTCACAAAACTGCCTAAAACACAGGTCTGACTGTAGCCTTCCCCTGATCAATAAACCCCCAGTGATCCTATTAGACACTCTAATATCCGGTATAAATCCCTGCGGCATTAAATGCCCTTCCCATCTTTTTGTTGTCGTTTTGTTTCTTTGTTTTTGTATTTTTTATTTTCTTTAAAGGAATACATCAGGTTTTTTTTATATATCTTTTTTTTTTTTAATGGGGCAGTGGGGTTAAGTGACTTGCCCAGGGTCACAGAGCTCGTGAGCGTTGTGTGTCTGAGGCCAGGTTTGAACTCGGGTCCTCCTGACTCCAAGGCCGGAGCTCTATTCACTGTGCCACCTAGCTGCCCCTGTTGTTTTGTTTCTTGCTAGGCAATGGGGTTGAGTGACTTGCCCAGGGTCACAGTGTCAAGTGTCTGAGATAGGATTTGAACTCGGGTCCTCCAGACTCCTTTCCATCTTTTCACATACTTTGTGGCCCAAGTGGACCTCACTCCCCAATGCACATGACACTCCACCTCCAATCTTACAAAACTCTTCCAGAATGAAGAACGGAGAACCACCATCACCATCCCCAGTGCACTCCTTCCTCACTGCTCGCTCATTTGAATCCCAAGTTCCCTTCAAAGCTCAGGATCAAGGACCAACCCACAAGAAACCTTTCCTGACCTCGGATGCCCTCCCCACAAGCTGCCACGGGGAAATCAGGACTGTGATCATCCCTGGGGGCGGCAACGGCGGTGGGGTGAAATTGTGATTTAGAAGGGCCCGCATCTAGTGCCTAAGGTGTGCAAAGTATTTCAAAGCGATAGGTTATGGGGCTTGAGGTTAATGAATGGGGGAGTCAGGGTAGATTATCAGGCTCTTTCTTGAAGCCCCAGATTTGAAGGTTGGGGTGGAGCAGAAGACTGACCTTGGGATAAACTTGAAAAAGGAAGCGAGACTTGGCTGCCAGCAGAATAGCAGGGTGCCCTGCGGCCTCCTCACAAGAATATTATGCTTCCGCCCAAAGTGGATGGGGACCTCTCTGGGTCTGACTGTCCTGGTACGATGGTAGAACGGGACACATACAAGGTAGTGGGGTCCTGGGGAGAGTGGAAGTGAAGAGCCTGACCTCTTAATGGTGACTAATAAGAGTGTGGGGTGCTGTCCTCAGAGGTGCATGCCCATGGAGCCCCAGCAGCAGCCTTCTGAGGTGCATGCCTGAAGGTGCCGCCCTAGACATACATGCCCACGGGTACCCCAGCGCTATCCTCAGAGGTGCATGCCCGCAGGTGCCCTGAATGCCGCCCTTAGAAATGCATGCTACCCTCCGAGGTGCATGCATACCCGCAGGTGAGCTGGCCGCAAACTTTGGAGGTACATGCATGCCGACGATGCTACCCTCCAAGGTGCATGCATGCCTGCAGATGCCCTGGATGCCGCCCTTAGAAATGCATGCATGCCCACGGATGCTACCCTCCGGGGTGCACGCGTGCCGGCGGGTGCTGCCCTCCGCGGTGCACGCGCGCCCCCGGGTGCTGCCCTCCGCGGTGCACGTGGATCGCCTTCAGGGCCCAGGGCGCCTGCCGCTCGGGGCCCGCGGCAGCTCCCTCCCCCGAGCAGCAGGGGGCAGCAGTGCTCTCCGCAGGCGGGCGGAAGCTGCGAGGGCCCCACGCTGGTCGCGAGCGGAAGCGGCCGGCGGCGTCAGACGCGGCGCCTGCGAGCGGCAGTCATGCCCGGGGACCACCGGCGCATCCGCGGGCCCGAGGAGTCGCAGCCGCCCTCGCTGTACGCGCTGCGCTCCGGGCCCGACAACGACGGCGGCGACGACGACGACGGGGAGGGGCGGGCGGCGGGGCCCCGGGACCCCTCGCGGCTGCGGCCGGTGTACGCGCGCGCCGGCCTCCTGAGCCAGGCCAAGGGCTCGGCCTACCTGGAGGCCGGCAGCACCAAGGTGCTGTGCGCCGTGTCCGGGCCGCGGCCGGTGGAGGGCGAACGCGCGGGCGCGGCGGCGGGCAGCGCGGGCGGCCGCCTGCTCTGCGACTTCCGGCGGGCGCCCTTCTCGGGCCCGCGGCGGCGGCGGCCCGCGGGCGCGGCGGGCGGGGGCGGCGGCGGGGCGGAGGAGCGCGAGCTGGCGCTGGCCATGCAGGAGGCGCTGGAGCCCGCCGTGCGCCTGGGTCGCTACCCCCGCGCGCAGCTCGAGGTGTCGGCGCTGCTGCTGGAGGACGGCGGCTCGGCGCTGGCCGCCGCGCTCACGGCCGCCGCCCTGGCGCTGGCCGACGCGGGCGTCGAGATGTACGACCTGGTGGTGGGTTGCGCGCTGAGCCGCGGCCCGGGCCCCGACGCCGCCTGGCAGCTGGACCCGACGCGCCGCGAGGAGGAGCGCGCCGCCGCCGGCCTCACCGTGGCGCTCATGCCGGTGCTCAACCAGGTGGCCGGGCTGCTGGGCAGCGGCGAGGCGAGCGCGACCGAGAGTTGGGCGGACGCCGTGCGCCTGGGCCTCGAGGGCTGCCAGCGCCTCTACCCGGTGCTGCAGCAGTGCCTGCTCAAGGCGGTCCGCCGCCGGGGGGGCGCCAGCCCCGAGACCGCCGCCGCCGCCGCCCCTGCTCTTGCTGCTGCCGCCGACGCCGACGGCGAGAGCCCCGCCGCGGCCCCCGTTGCTGCTGAGCCCGTGGCCTGAGCAGGAGGACGGATTCGGACCTCCTCCCCCTATCATCAGTACCCTCCTCCGCTGCCCACACGTCTAGCCCGGGTGCTGCCCCCGTGGCCTGAGCAGGAGGGCAGAGACCAGACCCCCCCCCCCATCCTCCCACACCCCACTTCCCCCCAGCCACCATGGGCCCTGCAGCAGCCTCAAAGACCCCCAACCGCAATGGTGATGGAGAGATCCGTGTCTTCAGCCTTCAAAGCTGCTGATCCTGTGCCTTGAGCAGGAGGATGGGGACCAGACACACACACCCTGCCCCCCCACTCCTCCCGTGTCCCCAACTACCACCAACCCTACAGCAGCCTCGGGACCTTGCCTCTACCACCGACCCCATGGCCTGAGCGAGAGGGCAGGACAGGACCCCCACCACCACCCTCCAAGACCCACTGCACTCGTTCCTGCCATCCGACCAGACTGCGTTTGGGGGTGCCTGGGAAAGGACTGAGCACTAAGAAGGGACATTGCACCTTTGAGCCACTGAGCCATTTTTTTTGTGTTTGTGTTCATTAAAAGATTGTTTGATAGTTTTCCAAGCTTCTTTCTGATGCCTTCCTGAGGGCCAGGGTGGTTCTCAGCACCTCTTAACACTTTTTGGGGGCTGGCTACAAGGTTCCTCTCATCTCACTCCTCTGAGGGCTAGGCATGGATTGGACTAAAAGCATAGTTAAGGGATTACTTCTAAGTGCCAAACAGGAAAAAAGGGAAGAAAGGGCTCTCAAGGAGCTATTGCTCTCATTGGGGAACACCCACCTGCAGGGATGGGCACCCCAGCCTGAAGGGTGCTGTTAGCTGCTGGATGGTGGTGGTTCCGTATCTGGAGGACTGTGAGGCAGGGCAGGTAGATGGCGAGACCTACACCAGGCCTGCACAACCCACCCCAAATCCTTCGGCATTCTGTGGGGCCTAAGCGGCGCAGGGCAGTGTTGGGCAGGCCTGCCACCTACACCAAAGGCCCGCTGCAGCCCTGCTGCAAGTTGTTCTTGGGGCCCCAACCCAAGGCCAAATTTAGTTTCACTGATGGCCCTTTTTTTGTGCCCAAGGTGGTCATAGTTGGTGCATGTGACAGCTCTGGAGAGTGCCACCTTGGAGGTTACCTAGGCACGACTGAGAGTATCCAAAGATAGAGAAGATCCAATTTAGTCACTTGGAAATGGGATTTGAGAACTGCTAGCCTGGTTCCTGCTGACAGAAGACTGGGCAAAGAGGGGAACCCTAGCAAGAGTGGCCATGAGGGGCAGCTAGATGGCACAGTGGATAGAGCACCGGCCCTGGTTTCTGGAGGACCTGAGTTCAGATGTGACCTTACACACATAGCACTTGCTGTGTGAACCTTGGCAAGTCACTTAACCCCATTGCCTAGTTCCCCCCCCCCAAAAAAAAAAGTGGCCATGAGAGAGACCTACAATGAATTTAAAGGTAACATGGCCTGAGGTCTGTGCTGCCTTAATGAGATGAACTAGCATATCTGTCTGAAGGAGCTGTCTGCAGTCCCGAGCAGCTTTGCCCACCCAGGTGGTCTGAACTTCTGCAGGGCTGACTTTACTCACTAAAGGCTTTTCTATTTGCCCTCTTTCTGGGAACACTCTCCCCACCCCTCAGACAAAAGGTGTTGGCATCTCCAAAAACTCTTAAGGCTGTCAAAGAGTGGTCTGTTTTTGATTTGCACCTACTTCTGAGGAATCCCACTCTGGAGCAGTCCCAGGAAGCCAGACACGGGGGCCTGGCTCTGGGATTTTCAACCATGCACATCTTCCAATTCTACAGCATATAATTAAAGGAAATTTGGGAGCCCACAGGCTTTCACTCAGACCACAATATGGTTGGGGGGGCAGAAAAGGAACACATCCAAGACCCATTTAACCAGAGAAAAGAAATACAAACTTTTAATTTTTTTTTCCTTTTAACACAATACACTTTTCCAGAGCAGATTTAAAATACAGACACAGTATCATACCAGCAAGAGGACAAGCTAGAAACTGGACGTGAGAATGAACTACACCTGTTCTGAAAGGACAGCATGGAGGGAAAGGGAGGGAAGGCAGGGAAATAACAGGGTGAATCAGGGCAACGTCAACCAAGGACCTGGCTGTATCTTCTGCGGAGCAGAAATGCACCTGTCAGAAACAGAACTCATTTCCCATGCACCACTGCGGGTACGGAATTCTGTGGGGACCGGGAGGAGAGAAAGGGGCCACACGAAGGCTAGTAGTGCAAACCATTGAAGCCACGTGATCCCGGGAAAAGGGGAAACCTTGGTGAGCCACGGGAGCTGTCCAACATTTGGCTTGGCTGGCCTTCTCAGGGACACCAATCCCCTCTCCTCACGCTGCTGGGAGGAAGGCCGGCTGAGGGAGCCCCAGAAGGAACACTGGGGGCTCAGGTGGGGACCAGAACCTGGGTGGTGTCTTAGATGAACCACGTTCTGCTGGGGCCGATACTGTTACAAGCTATGTCAGAGAGATCAAGGGGCAGGATGGCACCAGTTCTACCCCAAGGAGAGATGATGAGGGTACCCAAGAGGGGTGGGGAACTGAAAATCATCACTAAGCATCTTCGTGAGGGAAGAGAAGGAAGAATTTGGAATTGTGGGGTCTGCCCAGACTCTTCCCCAAATGCCCCTGTCCTGCCAAGTCTTACTACCAAGGGAACCCCTTTTTCATGGGATGGGGGGGAACAACACAGAGGAAAGGAGGGTTGGTATTCAAAAGGAAATTCTAGACGTGCTGGATTTTCCTGCCTCCCCAGACCCATACTGCAGGCCTGCACCTCAGGGACTTCTGCCTGGCTTCTGTAGAGGACACAGGACACCCCGCAGGCTCCCGTGGGCAGGAGCAGACGAGGCTCTACTGTAACAGTAGGGAGACTGGAGGGCAGGAGACACGTGGCACTGGCTGGGGGGCCTCAAAGAAATACAAACACAGGAAAAGGAAAGGATCCGAGCTGGGGAGGCCACAGCAGGGGCCCCAGAGCTTCTACTGACTCCCATCAGGGTCCGAGGTGTGATTTTTCATCTGCAAAGGAAAAAAAAGTTGAGTTACATTTTTGGCTGGTTTTGGAGGACCTGAGTCAAGGCTTCAGAGGGACTATTTAGAGTCAAATGTGTGGAAAAAAAAAATTGGGCTTCTAAAAACTTGTTCCCAAGAGGACCCCAACATCTACCTTGGGTCTAACTCAGAGTTTTTGGAGAGACTGGTCTCGTGAACAGTCACTATGAAAGTGTCTCTAGTACTGTGAACGTTCATTGGGCAAAGGGCCCACAGCGTAATGGTGAACCACAGGAAACTGAACACCAGAGGCAGGAGAAGGGGATCTGTGTCCAACCACGTGCCAAGGCCCTGTTCTATTGTGAGTCTGCCATGCTGAGCCCCTGAGAACCTGTGTCCAGGCTGGGCCAAAGGAGAATAGCTCAGTTCAATTTATCTCCCCTCTCTCCCCCTCACCTCCCCCCCCAAAAAAAGAAAGCAGACTGAGCCAGTTGGGCGGGAGGGAAGACCTCAGTTTCTTCACTTCTCAACTGAGGAGATCCGAACTAAATGATCTCTTAAGGTGTCTTCTAACTCAGGACTGCATGATTCCAAGAAGCTGATGTTTTTCTCCAAAGCAGCTTGGAAGGACAATGGCTTGGTCTCCACTGAGAGCTCTTCCAGGCCTGGCTCTGAGCACCCCCTTCCCCCCAACCTTGGCCTCCTTCCTGTTACAGGTTGGCCCTTGTGTGTCTTCAGCTCACAGAGTCATGAACGATTCAAGCTTTTAAATACCAAATTAACCTCCTGTGGCTGTCACTGGGAGCTCCAGCCACACCTCACATCCCCTGAAGGAGGATGCTCGGCAGCTCACTTCTTTCTCTTTGTTTTCTCCAATTCTAAGAGGAAATGGCATTTCCATGAGGAGCTGAGGGCCCAGGGGCAGTAGGGACGGGAGCAGCCCCACATCTCCTCAGCCCTGGCTGGGAGCCCCGGCACTGGGAAGGGCTTGGGGAGGAACAAGGTGGGAGGTCCCTGGGGAGCCAAGGGTCTGGCCCCAGGTCTACAGCAGCTATGGGGTGGGAGATGAATTCCAAGGGCACAGACCCTCCCCGCCTCCTCCGTGTCTGTGCTCTCCTCCGCACTGTCGGCATCCCTGCGGCTGCGGGCTCGGGGCTCCGGGCTCTCTTTGCCCCGGGGCTCTCGCTGGGCCTCAGCCGCTGCACCGGAGGACTCCCCACTGGCTGAGGTTGCCTTCTTCTCACCTTCTTGGGGCCCTGTGTAACAAGAACCCACCTGATCAGAAGGATCCATCCTCCCCAGATTGCAGGGCAGGGCCACCGGGGCCTACTCCCTCCTCACAACGGCCAGGTACATGGGCCCGTCTGCACTGCACACTGGCAGCTGGACCGTCCCTGTCATCACAAACGTCACAGAGGGCACTGCTCAATGCTGGGCATACACCATCCCTGCCACTGACAGGCTTGTCACAGTCAAATTTGGAGAGAACATGAATGTAAAGACGGCCTGCTCTACGTTGTTTATGCCAAGTCGACCTGGGCTGACGTAGCCAAAGCAATACAGAGCAGGTAAACTGGACCTTGGGGATGGCCCCATCTTGTGGTCCTGCCCCACTACATGCAGCACTGGTAAAAGTGAACTCGGCACTGCTGGCGAAAAATGAAACCACTTTTGCCTGGAGTGGGATTCACGCTGGGAAGAAGTAGTAAGCAGGGCTGGAGCCAAACTATGATGAGACTCAGGTACCAACCCCGCAGCTGGCAAGGGCAGCGCACTCTCATGGCTCTGGGCAAGCCACATCAATGCTGCCTGCCTCAGTTTCCTCATATGTAAAATGGGGACAATGACAGCCCTTACCTCCCAGGGTTGTCATGAGGATAGAAAAAGATATGTGTAAAGCACTGTGAGCCTTGAGGCACTAGATATTATTTATGAGAATGCTGATGAGGAACCTAAGAAGTCGAGAATTCTCTGGTTCTCCATTCCAGCTGTTTATAGAAGGCAGCACACGTTGCCAGAAGCATTGCCTGGGGATGTTTGTAGAACAGACTGAAGGGAGGGAGGTGGAAGGTAAAGGCACTGGGGAGGCAGCAGGGAGGCTGGAGTACACATGCAGGACCAGGTGGCCCGAGCAGGCAGAGGGCGGGGCAGCAGGGCCAGGTGGCCTGAGCAGGCAGAGGGCGGGGCAGCAGGGCCAGGTGGCCAGAGCAGGCAGAGGGCGGGGCAGCAGGGCCAGGTGGCCCGAGCAGGCAGAGGGCGGGGCAGCAGGGCCAGGTGGCCAGAGCAGGCAGAGGGCGGGGCAGCAGGGCCAGGTGCCCAGAGCAGGCCAGGCACCCTCTCGGGCTCCTTTACCTCCCAGTCTGTCTCGCCGCTGGTCCATACGCTCCAGGCTCTCGAGCAGACTGTCCACCTGGACCTTGATCTGGCTCAGCTCCCCCTTGATCGAGTGCAGCTCCTCAGCTCTTACTGCACAAGGACAGAGAGAACAGTGACTTGGGCTCAGCCCAAGCCTGAGGCACCAGAGATTTCTCACCAGGATTCCAGAGGTG